GGTTGGGGTGAGTGGTGATTTTGGGATGATTGGGGCGGGTAACCATTTCAGGAGGGTAATGAATTTGGGAGGGTTGGGATGGGTAACAATTTCAGGAAGGTTAGAGGGGTAATGATTTTGGGAGAGTTGGGGCGGGTAACAATTTTGGGATGATTGGGGCAGGTAACCATTTCAGGAGGGTAATGATTTTGGGAGGGTAACCATTTTGAGAGGGTTGGGGTGGGTAATGACTTTGGGAGGGTTGGGGCAGGTAACCATTTTGGAAGGGCAACATTTTGGGAGGATTGGGGTGGGTGACGATTTTGAGAGGGTTCGGGCAGGTAACCATTTCGGGAGGGTTGGGGTGGGTAACGATTTTGGGATGATTGGGGCGGGTAACCATTTTAGGAGGGTAATGATTTTGGGGAGGGTAACCATTTTGGGAGGGTTGGGGTGTGTAATGATTTTGGGATGATTGGGGCGGGTAACCATTTCGGGAGGGTAATGATTTTGGGGAGGGTAACCATTTTGGGAGGGTTGGGATGGGTAATGATTTTGGGATGGTAATGATTTTGGGTGGGTTGGGGTGCGTAACGATTTTGAGAGGGTTGGGTCAGGTAACCATTTCAGGAGGGTAACAATTTCAGGAGGGTTGGGGTGGATAATGATTTTGGGAGGATTGGGGCAGGTAACCATTTCAGGAGGGTAACCATTTTGGGAGGGTTGGGGCAGGTAACCATTTCAGGAGGGTAACCATTTTGGGAGGATTGGGGCAGGTAACCATTTCAGGGGGGTAACCATTTTGGGAGGGTTGTGGCTGTGGGCAAACACGTCCATGCCAGACTCAGCTCCGTGTGTCCCGGGCGAGTCCGGCTCTTCCAGCGCTGCAGGAAAACTCAAAAAAAAAAAAAAACAACAACAAAAAAACCGCCCTGAAGCGAAACCCCATCGTAAATAAGCTCCTGAGAGCCGAGGTGGGCATCTGTGGCAGGAGGATGTGCTCGATTCCTGCCAGCCAGAGCCGTTCCAAGCGGGAATACAAACAACCTTCAGCCGCAGCAGCAGCTTATTAGCGCTGATATATCAGCGGCCGCGCGCTCGTTTGTCTCCTGTCAGCAGCAGCTGCTTATCCAGCAGATTTCCCGCTGTATTCCCGGGGAAATGGCCTGAAATTGATGTTCACAAGCCAGGGCTGACTTTATAAGGAGCTGCAGTAACTCGTGGAGCGCAGGGGTGAGGCAGGAAAGGATTAAGTCGGGTCTTATTTATAAGGAGTGAAACCCATAAATTCTGGGAGGGTTTTAAATCTCGGTGCCCAGGGTAGGAGCTGCTGCTCATCCCTGGTGGTACCTTCTGTTCTCTGAGCAGACATTTAACACCGTGATTGAAACTCCTGTGGCATCTCCGAGTTCTCTGATAATAAATACAAAGGGGGAAAGGGATTCAGGCTTAAAAAGCAGAAAAAAATATTTCTATATAGTTTTGCTTTTCTTCAGATAATACTGGATCTAAACTGTGAGGCATCCATGTGTTCTGTGAGAGGAAAAACTGAGTGTTTTTTAAGAAAAGATTTTTAGGTGTTTAAACTTCAAGAGTAATGTGAATAAAAGGTCATGTTCTCAGCTGGCCTGAGAAGATTCAGGTTCACAGTCAGGACAGTGGGCATTTGCACCTGAAACAGTTTCAGGCCTGGCCTAATCCTGTGTGGAAAAGGCAGAAGGAGGGAAGGCTGAGCCAGAAGCTGCTTCTGGGCTTGTTTGAATCTCCTTTGCCATCTCTGTAATAAGTCCTGGGGGAACATTCCCATAAGGAACATCCTGAAGTGCCCCTTCCACTTGGGGAAGCCTCTCAGAGTCATGGTGCTGCCAAGCCCTGATGATGAAATTGCTTTTCCCATCCTTTTCCCTGTTTGAGGCTTAATTATGTGACATTTCATCTCAATTGTTGGCTCCTTTTCACCCATTTCTGGGGTCACTTCTCATTCACTCTCTCCTGACCAGAATTTGGTGCTCAGGGCAGGTGTGGGTCACCCTTGGGGTTCCTCCCCAGGTTGATCTGACCCCTGCTTGGGGTGTTACAGGGTTGTTCCTCTGAAATTTTGGTCAGCAGGGACAGAAAAACCTTCCTGGGGTTTTTATTTTGTGTGGTGTGGGAAAGGAGGGCATCCAGTGGGACCTGGGAAGGCTGGAGAGGTGAGCACAGGGGAAGCTCATGAAGTTCTTGCTGAGGGGTGTTCCCCTGGAGAAGGGAAAAATCCAGGGAATCCTCAGAGTCCCTGGAGGGGCTCCAGGAGAGCTGCAGAGGGGCTGGGGACAAGGCCTGCAGGGACAGGAGCCAGGGAATGGCTCCCACTGGGAAAGGGGAGATTGGGCTGGGATCTTGGCAAGGAATTCCTGCCTGGGCTGGAATTCCCAGATTTGCTGGGGCTGCCCCTGGATCCCTGGCAGTGCCCAAGGCCAGGTTGGACACTGGGGCTTGGATCCACCTGGGATTTAAGATCCAACCCAACCCATTCCATGGTTCACCTGGAACTGAGAACCTCCAAGGCCTCTCCAAGAGTTACAATCCTCTGTAAATTCCCGCTGAAGTGGAGTGTGAGCTACTCCAGGGGTTTTCTGCTGCTCTTCCCGGAAGGGTCAGGAGCCCCATCCCCTGCCCTCAGCAAGGTCCTAGGTCTTGGCTGCAGAGCTTTGATTTCCCGTCCTCTGCTTCCGTCTGGGACATCCCAATGACACATGGAGGGCTTGAGGGCACTGGGAATGTCCATCTGGAGCAGAGGAGGCTCAGGGGAAACTCATCAGGATCTGTTCATCCCAAGGGGCAGCTGTGACAGGGACAGCACCAGGGAATGCTGGAGCTGTTCCAGGGGAGGCTCAGGCTGGATTTCAGGGAAAAATTCCTCATCCAGAGGGTGCTGGCACTGTCCGGGCTCCCAGGGAATGGGCACAGCCCCGAGGCTGCCAGAGCTCCAGGAGCGTTGGACACACTCGCATGGGCAGGGTGGGATTTTGGGGTGTCTGTGCAGGGCCAGGGCTTGGATCCACGATCCTGTGGGTCCCTCAACTCAGGATATTCCCTGATTCTGTCAAAACTCCTTGGCCACAGCTAAAACTCAAGTGTCTGTTGGAATTAATGAAGAAAAATCACAGCCGGGCAGCGCCGTACTTCCCGCAGCTCTCAGAGATGAGGAATTGGCACGAGCAGGGTTTTAAATAACCCAGCGTGTCAGAAAAGCACAAACAAATGATGAAAAGCAAAGAAAAAACCCCAGAGCTCTGCTAAACTTTATGGTTGCCATGCTTCATCTTCATTTTGGTGCAGGTGTTTGCTGGGAGGTGAGTGATGGACGCTCCGGACCCTGGGAGCGGCGGCGAGCCGGAGATGGAGCACCCTGCCCTGCAACGCACGGCTCGGCTCCTTTTTTAAATAAAAAAAACATTTTTCCTTCTGTCTGAAGATGGATGTGGCCTGAAGATCCAAATCAAGTTTGCAGAGCTGGGGAAAAAACCCTTCCCAGCACAGGGATCAAACGTTGCCGTGCCGCGATAACGAAACCGGCGGTGCCGAGCTGGAAGCACGGCGTAAACTCCGCGTTTAATCCCAGTTTAAACACAGCTTGTAAAGCGCCTCTGAGAGTCGGTGAGAGCTCCTAAGCCACGCCTTGGTGCCAGGAAAGCGTGTTAAGAGTCTTTTGTGAGTGTTTGAGGAGATAATCTCCTGCTGGAGCTGTTTTCAGGGCAGCGCCATGATCCAAAACCTCCCTGGTGGCGTTGCGCACGCAGGCATCGGGATCATTCCCTGTGGTGCCAGCCTGAGGGGTTTGGGCTAAATCCCGCTCTGGTCCCAAAGGATTTCCCCATCTTTATGGGTTTAATTCCTGGTGCAGACCCTCTACCTGCCGTAGAGAGGATCAGGTTGTGGGTGGGAATGTCCAAGATCAGGTTGGACATCGGGACTTGGAGCAACCTGGGACAGTGGAAGGTGTCCCTGGCCATGGAATGAGATGGGCTTTAGGGTCCCTTCCCACCCAAACATTCCATGATTCCCTGATAATCAATGGGATGCTGTCTCGCCCACGTTAAGGCACGATGAGAACGCTTTGAGCTCTGAGCACCCCGGAGCTCTCCTGGATTCAACCAGCTGCACCCAACAAGGCCTAACCCTTCCCTCAGCCATGGGCACTTCCAGGGGGGATTCCCTTGGGAGATGGTGGTTGTGACCTTGAGCCCTGTGGGAAGATCCCATCACAGATGGGACATGCTGAGGAGGCTGGGCCGGGCTGGAGAAGTTCTCTGGTGGCTTTAACTGAGGAGGTTTTGGCTGGGCTGGAAAAGTTCTCTGGTGGCTTTACTGAGGTGGTTTGACTGAGCTGGAGAAGTTCTTTGGTGGCTTTTACTGAGGAGGTTTGGGCTGCTTTGGAGAAGTTCTCTGGTGGCTTTAACTGAGGGGTTTTGGCTGAGCTGGAGAAGTTCTCTGATGGCTTTAAGTGAGGAGGTTTGACTGAGCTGGAGAAGTTCTTTGGTGGCTCTAACTGAGGAGATTAGGCTGCTCTGGAGAAGTTCTGTGGTGGCTTTACTCTGAGGGGCTTTGGGCTGGGCTGGAGAAGTTCTATAGGATTTACTGAGGAAGTTTGGCTGCGCTGGAGAAGTTCTGTGCTGGTGGCTTTACTGAGGAGGTTTGACTGAGCTGCAGAAGTTCTATAGTGGATTTACTGAGGAAGTTTGGCTGCTCTGGAGAAGTTCTCTGGTGGCTTTACTGAGGAGGTTTGACTGAGCTGCAGAAGTTTTGCACTGATTGCTTTAACTGAGGAAGTTTGGCTGCTCTGGAGAAGTTCTCTGTTGGCTTTAACTGAGGAAGTTTGGCTGCTCTGGAGAAGTTCTGTGCTGGTGGCTTTAACTGGGGAAGTTTGGCTGCTCTGCAGAAGTTCTGTGCTGGTGGCTTTCCCGATGGGGCTGCCCTGCAGAAGTCCTGCGGTGGCTTTTTGCGCCGGTGTCCCTGACGAGTGTCCGTTTGTCCTGCAGGGGAAGGTGGCCCAGACGGCCTGCATGTCGGCCTGCAAGCACCTCTCGACGTCGCTGCTGCAGCTGCTGCTGGAGGCCGAGGTGAGGCAGCTGACGCTGGGGGCCCTGCACCAGTTCAACCTGGACGTGGAGGAGTGCGAACGTAAGAGCCCAACCAGCCCCGTCCCTGTCCTTGGCTTGGTCACGGGTCCAGGGGGAATTCCTGCTCTGCATCAGGCTCAGGGGTTTGGGGAACGTTGAAATCGAGGTGGCCCACACCTAAAATGGGACTTTGGCCCGTGAGTTTTAAGGGTGATTATTAAATATTAGTCCCCAAATGTTTCGGGGTGTGTCCTGCCTGGCTTCGTCTGGCTGGGACACACTGCAACAGGTGGTGAATCAGCTCTGTTTATAAAATGAGTTATTTATTGAGCAGACAGGAGAAAACGAAGAAAAGGTTTAATTGAAGTTACTACAGGGTATAAACCAAAAAGAATTATTAGTGCACTACATGAAATTATGTGTGACATGAAGGTATTTATATTAGAATGATATTTCTATTTCTATTTCTTATTATATTTGCATTTACATTTACATTCATATCTATATATCTATATCTATATCTATATCTATATCTACAACTTTATATTTATATCTATATTTATATTTATATTTACTGGAAAAAGAAATGCCAGGGTAGGTTAGGAATCAAAAGAAATAGGATAGATTAAGAATCAAAAAGAATGGCATAGATTAGGAATCAGAAGGAATAGGGTAGATCAGGAATTAAATGGAACAGGGTAGATTAAAAATTAAATAGAATAGGGCAGAATAGGAATCATGGAAAAGTGACCATGGTGTACACAGAGTCCGTTCCCTCAACCTCCAGAGGAGTAACCCCAAACAGCCTCCCAAATTTGGGGTAAGATCCTACAGTGCTGCTGTGCCCCTTGGTGTTTGGGGTCCCAGGTCAGGGGTGTGGCAATGCCAAGGTCTGGGGGTGGTGGGTGCCCACAGAGCTCACCCAGAACATCTTCAGCACACAGGATTCCAAGAGATCCAATTTTACTCCTCCTTTTCCTCTTCAATGCTGCCTTGACACTCTCCAGACCATCCCTACATTTTGGGATTGAGTTTCTTAAAAACAGGAGGGATTGGAGTGCACGAATCAAAAATCAGTTTATTTCTGACTCTTTCCGAGAAGCTGGGGCTGCCCCATCCCTGGGAGTGTCCAAGGCAGGGATGGATGGGGCTTGGAGCATCTGAAGAAGTTGATGTTCTTCACCAGTTCTGGTCCTCTCCCAGCTTCAGCCCTTTGTGCTCTCTGCAGGGAATTTTGCCCTTGAAGTGAGCCCTGTGCCAAGTCAGAGTGGTGGAGATGAGGTGTCTTGTGACAAAGTGACAGCAGCTCCTGAGGGCAGGAGCATCGTGGTGCCACCCTCAGGGCTCTGCTCCCAAACCTGCCCCTTTTGGCTTTTCAGGCACGCACCTGGATTGGGGCTGGAATTCTCTGGGTGCCCTCAGGTTGCTGCTTGTCCTGCTCGGTGAAAGGGTTAAAAACCAGAGCCCAAAGCAGACAAAATTCTCTTTTTAATCCAGGTTTTGGAATTAAAGTAAGGCAGAGTGAACACAGCCCTGCACAGGATCCTCTTCCCTCTGAGGGGGATGGGTTTGTTGGGATCCATCCTGGGGTGGATTTGTTGGGATCCATCCTGGTGGGAATTTGTTGGGATTCATCCTGGGGTGGGTTTGTTGGGATTCATCCTGGAATGGGTTTGTTGGGAGTCATCCTGGGATGGATTTCTTGGGATTCTTCCTGAAATGGATTTGTTTGGATTCATCCTGGTGTGAATTTGTTGGGATCTGTCCTGGGGTGGATTTGTTGGGATTCATCCTAGGATGGATTTGTTGGGATTCATCCTGGGGTGGATTTGTTGGGATTCATCCTGGGATGGATTCGTGACCATGGTGGTTGAGAACCCAGAGCTTGATAGAGTTCCTAACAAACCCCCCAGGTGATCTTTGATTTTAGGGTATTTTAGGGATTTTTTTCCCCCCAAATATCCACATTTTGGCTTTCCTGGTTGAGGTGGAGATTGGGATGTCTCGTGTTATCGCAGAATCCTGGAATGCTTTGGGTGGGAAGGGACCTTAGAGCCCATCCAAGGGCACTTCCCACTCTCCCAGGGTGCTCCCAGCCCCATCCAGGCTGGCCTTGGACACTTCCAGGGCTCCAGGGGACTCAGTGACATCAGCTGTTGGTTTCATCATCCCCCTGCACTTCCCATTGCCAAGCCAAGTTCTTCCACCCTTTATCCAACATTTTCCTGACCCAATTTTACTTCAGCTGCCCCCATCAACACTGAGATTAAATTTACTGCTGGGAACAACCCCCCAGCAGGAATTTTGCTGTTTCCAACACGGGTTTTTCCGTTTTTCAACATCCACTTGCCATTTTCCAGCCCTCAGCTGACCAGCCCAGGAGAAGGATCCCAATTTAATGATTCCCACCTGGATCCTGCAGCTGCACCATAACTCACCAAGCAATGCCTGATTTTCCTCCTGGTGCTGCCTCGATCCCCCAGTTCCTGACTCTCATTTGTGTCCCCTCAGCTGTGCTCCCATGGGTTTCTGCTGAGGGACAGGCACCAGAGCTGGGAATAATGGGAAGCGTTTGTCATCTTTATTAATTCCGTTTTTTTTGGCTCCAAACACTCCAAACCCAGCAGTTTTCCACCCCATCCATAACGTGGATCACGGAGCAGCAGCTCTTCCCTAAAAGCTGCTGCTGCCAAGGAAGACGAATGGGATTTCAGAGCAGGTTGGAAAGCACAATTCCTTAAATTCCTGTTGTTTGGGGAGCCCGAGCCAGGAGCACTCAGACATCCTGGAGCAGGTGACGCCAAGCAGGGTCAGGGACCTGTCCCCAGCCCCGTCCCAAGGTGCCACTGGAGCAGGGAATGGAGATGGATGCTGGAGCTGGATCCTCCCCATCCATCACTGTCAGCCCTGAACAGACAAAATCCTTCTCCCTCCCAGCAGCAAATCCGTGCCCCTCATCCCCACGGGTCAGTCTGGTGGCTCTGCTGAGCCTGGGAGTCACTTTAAGTTGGTTACTTTGGAGCAGAAATCCATCAAGGTTTGAATTTTGGGATGAGCCAGTGCCAAGAGGGAAGTGGTGTATTCAGGAAATAAGTTTCAGTTTGCAAGGTTGGGGTTTATTCTTGTTTTTTTGGTGATTTTTTAAGTCTTTTTTTGTACCTGAAAGCACAGGTGTGAATCTCAACATCCTCACAGTGCCAGTTCGTGCCTCTGCCTCAAATTCCCAAACCTTTCCCAATCCAGCAGTTTTATCTTGCACTTACACATTAAAATAGGATTTTATGTCTGTTTGGAGCACTTCCAGTGAGTGCCATGGTGAGGGAATGGGGCTGCAGAGTTCTGATGCTGGAGTTTATTAAGGTTGTGAATGCTGAAAAAACAATCTGGTTAAAAGAGAGGTGAGGTGAATGAAGGAAATTATTTTATTGGATATTAGGCATAGTTTGAAGGGGGTGAAGGCCTGCAGGGACCGGAGCCAGGGAATGGCTCCCACTGGGAAAGGGGAGATTGGGCTGGGATCTTGGCAAGGAATTCCTGGCTGGGCTGGAATTCCCAGATTTGCTGGGGCTGCCCCTGGATCCCTGGCAGTGCCCCAGGCCAGGCTGGATCCACCTGGGGCAGTGGGAGGTGTCCCTGCCCATGGATGGGGTGGGATGAAGATGCCCTTTAAGGTCCCTTCCAACCCATCCAGTCTGGGATTCTGGGATTTTGGGATTCTGGGATTTTGGGATTCTGTGGTGCTTGGCGGAAAGATGAGGTTGTGATGGGACCCCTCCACCTGCTGTTTAAATCTCCCCCTTCCTTAAATCTGTCCTTTTTTGGTGCGTTCAAAGCACAGAAAATGCAGTTTATTCGTTTTTATTAATTTTCTGATCTTCCAAAAGGAAGCTGTTGTAGGACTGAGGGGAAACAGTGAATTGAACAGACCCCAAGAGCCAGGTATTCCATGTTTCCCTCATGTGGATATCCCATAATCAGCAGCATTTTTGGTGTGAAAGAGGAGAAAAGAGCAGAGCAGCCACACATTGTAAAAATCCTTTTGGGTTGCTTGTGAAGGGACAAACCTGGGGGAAATCCGAGCTCTTTTCCGTGGTTTATCCTGGTGAGACCATGGAGTGTCCAGCTGGACCCATCCTGGAGGAGGTGCAGGGTGCTGAGGGGTCAGGGAGAGCATCCTCCGGTGCTACCAGCAGGAAGATGCTTCCCAAGGTGTTTGGGAGCAGCTTTCCGTGGATTTGAGTGCTTGGATGGCACGAGTGGCTCCAGGGAAGGGCTGCAGGTGGATTTGGGATGTGTTGTAGGGCAGGAGTTGGGATGGTGAGGTTCTCTCACCCCCTTTTAAACCCGGACTAAGGCACAGCTTAAATGAACTGCCTAGAATGACTCAGTGGGACACATCTTGTGTTTCCCTTTAGGAAACACTTCTGGGATAAAAAGAAGCAAAAATACCAACCCTGGAGAGGGGAAAAAAAATCCCAAAGATTTTTTGTAACCTGTAAATCTCGTTTTTTCAGAAAAGAAATTTCTTTTTTTCAGAGGGTTTCTTGTCTCCCAGAATGCATCCATAATCCAAGATTTAACAATGCAATGGGATTTTTAATCTCCTCCATGCCCCACTCTGCTCTTTTTGAACTGATAAATCCATATATATATATATATGGATTTATTTATATTTATATATAAATCCATATACTAAATATATATAAATATATATTTATTTCTATATCTAATATTTATATTTATATATAAAGGTATAGAAATATTTATTTTTATATAAATATATAAATCAATATTGAAAATATAATTTGATAAATGCATAATTTTTCCATCTCCCCTCTACCTCAGACATAGCGGGAATCAAATGGAACAACCCAGATTTGGAGGTGACAGCTGAAAAATCCCAAAGAAATGGGGAGGTTCTCACTCCTAGGAAGTGTTCCCCATCTCCATAACAGGTTCCAGCAGTGGCTGAGGGGTTTTTACAATCCTCAGATCATAAAATGAGCAATTCCATAATCTCCAAACTCTTTTAACTGCTGCTTTCTGGGAAATTAAAAGAGC